GTTTGCCAGTGTTATTGCAATACTGCTGGCAAGGATCTAGTTCTTATAATAGGAGCTGTCAAAATAGCATGCTCACCATTTCCTTCATTAATAGAGAACAAACCCAAGATTCCACAGAATAGTTTTTCTATTTTTATGGGTTTCTACTTTATTATAATTATTTATCCCCATCATCACATGTGAATAGAAACACTTCTCAATTTAAATTAATGCCTCAATGTGGAATAAGACTGCAATTTTCAGTGACCTGTTTACTCTTCTTTCAATTTCTTTTTTCTTTCTTTTTTTTTTAACTGGAAATTTCACATGAGCTCCATCCCCAGTGTTTTTCTTATTTTTTTTTTAATTTTGAAACAGGGTCACATTAAGCTGCTACGTTGCCCAGGCTGGGCTCACATTTGTGATCCTCCTGCTTCAACCTTGCACAGCACTGGGATTATAGACAATATGCCCCTCTGCTGGGCTTTCTCCATAATTTTTTATTGCTACAAAGTTTAACATTTTTTTAATAAACAGTGCAGTTACATTGTTCAAAAATCAAAAAATACACAAAAGAAGAAATGAGAATTCTCTCTTGAACATTCTGGACCCAATTCTTGACTCACTAAATAAAAATTAACAAAATAAATAAATAAATAAATAAATAAATAAATAAATAAAAATTATCATCATTGGCTTCCTATACAGCTCAAGTATCCCTTATCTAAAGCTCCTTCTTTGAAATTTCAGATTTAGGATTTTTTTTTCCTATGGTGAAATATTTGCACACGCGCATTTGCACATGAGACAGTCACACGACACTCCTCACCCGTTGCGGCTGGTTGGGGCTGGATGGGCCTTTCTTCCCTCAGGGCTGCTGAGGACACTGTGAGGAGCGCCTGGGTTTTGACTGCCATCCATCACATGAGGTTAAGTGTGGCATCTTTCGCTGTTGTCAAGGCAGCGCTCCAAAAGGTTCAGATTTCGGGTTTCAGATTTTTGTGTATCTGTTCCAGCACAGGTAAGGCCTTATTCTGACCTTGTTTAGTATATGATCTGTAGTTATCCTGGAGTTGTTTCAGCATAGCTCATCCATAGAGTGCGGCTGTGCCTTTCTGACAGCTATATCCTGGATCTACTTGAATCCCTTCACCCAGAGCCCGGTGAGCTCCCTGATTACCGAACCACCTGAGCTCTTACAAATCACATTGGGACTCAGCGTACCTGTGTCATTCTATGCATGTCAAGCCTCTGTGTTGGACAAGTTCTTGCGGAGTTAGCCCACCAGACCCTTTCTCCTCTTGGTGAACAAGTTGTAGGGGTCTGTTCTGGGGTCACAGCAGTCTGACCACACACATGAAAGGTCACGGCACATCTTCTTGACAGTAAAGCCAGAGCCTGACCTCCTAAGACATGGCACCAGGCAGAGCTCAGCTCTACTGCTGAGAACACATGGCCTAGAAACAAGGATGAGAAGTAGGTTGTTTGGCAGTTCAGAGATCTGAAAGGAACTTGGAGTCTAGGGTACATGCCTAAAAGATAGGCATCATGGAAACTGCCAGGGATCTGCCACTTCTTTCAGGCCACAGAGGTCCCCAGGCAGCTTCCAGAGCCTCTGCTCTGCCCAAATTGGGTGAGAACAGGTGTGTCAGCCTCTGCCATCTCCCATATAGGACTAAAGCCTTCATCCTCATGTACCCAGCTTTGGCTCTGTCATTTAGACTACCCGCTGCTCTACAGGAATAGGGCTTCCCACCTGGGCATCTGCTTAGCGCCTGCTGAAGGGATGCCCCTACTTCGCTATCCCCTTGAGATCCTGGAGTAAACCCTGCTGGAAGAAGCCAGCTCTTCCCAGTGTGCACCTGGGAAGGAAGGAACTTCCTGCTCTCATCCCCAGTTCTTCCTGCCTCTCTGGGCCACCTCCGGGGATGAGTCTTCAGTAACAGCCTCCCCGCCTTGTGCACCTGAGACCTATGGTCCCCTTAGTACCATGTCTCACCAGATCTGTGCCCTTCTGACACCTAAGTCCCATAAAGTTGTTTTTCATTCCTGGCCATCTAAAGACATCTTTATGTCTCCCTGGGTCTCCCTGCAGGGAAGGCCACAGAAGCGTGTGTCTGCTCCCCATGCAGGGGCCACACCCCTAGCCTTCCCCTGGTTTTATTCACTCATCAAATGAAAATGCAATGCCTTGCATCTCCACTCTAGCTTATTTTTCCCCTTTCACAGCTCTTTTCAGAAAAACTTTGTCATTTCAGGGGCCTGCAACACAGTTTTCCAAAGGTGTCAAGGGACTACTGACTATGAATGTGAATTTTAATTTAAAAAATTAAAACTGAATAAATGAGTGCAGATTTCTCTAGAGCCTTTGGAAGGGCCTAGCCATGTCCCGGGTTTCTTCCCCAACACCTGGGAGCAGACATGTCCCAGGTCCTGGGCTGTCACACACTCCTTCTCCAGCATTAGTGCAGCACAGATCCCTTGTTGTCATCATTCGGCCTGGGGCTGCCTAGCTGTATTTGGGATGTTACCATAGCCTAGAAAATATAGGCAGGTTGAAAACCACAGGTGTCCATTCCTGTGCTTCTGGAGGCTGGGAAGTCCAGGATGACGGTGCTGGCAGATTCGGGGTCTGGTGAGGGCCCACTTCCTGTGTCATAAATGGCACATGGTGGCACCTTGTGCTCACCATGCTCACTTGGCAGAAGCGACAAGGCGGCTCTCTATGGTCTCCCTGGTAAAGGCACTAATCCCACCGAGAGGCCTTCACCCCGGGCAACTTAGCCCATGTCGTCCTCAACCCACACACAGGACGCAGCTCACTCTGCAGACAGTCTGGGATAGAGACGGCCCACTCATCTCATTCCCATAGGGACATGATCACACGCAATCCGGTGGCTCCATTTCAGTGGGGGGGGGAGTGTCCTCTCCCTTTTTTATAGGTGACCTCATACTTGTGGCCTCCACATCTGTGGCTTTAACCAACCACAGGTTGACATTCTTTAGTAGAAATTATTGTATCTGTATTGATCACACACATGTATTCCCTGAACAGTATAGCCTAACGGTTAATGACATTATAGTGCACTTACATTGTAGTAGGTACTACAGTCATCTGGAAATTATTTGACTCATACGGGAGAATGTACATGGGCTCTGTGCCAGTGCTGCTCCATTGTATCGGAGGGCTTGGGTACCCTTGGATTTTGTTGTCTTGGGGCGGGGGACTGAAACCCAGTCTTCCTTGGATGTCAAGGAAACACTGACTATAAATGTGAATTTCATTTTGAAAACAGTAATCTGTCTAGTGTCAGAGCACCTCCTAAGTCTTTAGTTTCTCCAGACACTGAGCTCAAAATAATCCTTATATCAAAGGGCATATTGTGGGGTGGTATATTCTAAACTCCTACATTCTAGATCTGTGTCTTCTTCCTGTCCCACTCTCATCCAGCTCTTAGCCTTAGGAGGGTGTTTTGTTGTTGTTGTTTTTATGCAGCGTCTCACTACACAGCTTGGACTGGCAGTGATCCTCCTGTTTTCTGCCTCCCTAGTGCTGGGATTACAGGCATGCACCGCCATGCCCAGGCTCCATCGCTGGCTTAGTGTACCCGGGGGCAGGTCCAGCAGGACATGTGGTGGCAGGGATCAGACCCTGGCCCCTGCACTTAACTAAGCAAATGTTTAGTCGACTGAGCTATACCGCCGGCCCTAGGAGGATGGTTTTATACAAGAGCTACGAAATCTAAAAGAAAAGACGAGAGGGGCAGGGTCTTGCTGGCTGGGAGCTGCCCTCACATCCCCACTGAGATGCTTGCCCTGGCAGACCACTGAGGAGAAGGGTGCACACCAGCATAATATGTGTACCCCCATTTCTGCCCTGCAGATTCAAACCCTACATGGGGCACAGCCCTGCTAGGGTGGGGACACACAGGGCTTGAGGCCCCCTGAAGTCATCTTGCAAGGGAAAGAAAAAGAGGTGGGGAAGAAAGGGGAGCGTGTAGTAGGGTGAAGGGAGAGAGAGGGTGGAGGAAGAGACACATGGAAGCTGTGGGGATCCGTTGGGCTCCCAGGAGGATTCACCTGTGCTTGTGCTAGGAAAGCTGATGGGTCCGGAGAGGAAAGCGATGAATCATTTATGACTGTTTTCACTTTGTATTCATTAGTGGCCTCCGCACCATTATTATCAAGCTTTAATTGGCTTGGCACTCGGCTCAGCCTCTTCCAGCCCCTGCTCCGCCCTTTGCCGTCAGAGCTTCCTGGAGCGAGACAGCAGGGAGCGTGGACACTGAGTGCGCCTGGGAACGGGCAGCCGGGCCGCTGTACCCGGCAGACCAAATGCGATGCAGTCGCTCCACCCTCTCCTCTCTGATCGTGTATTAATGAGCGCATCTTGCCCCTTGCAGGGCTTTCCTTCTGCTCCCCACAAGGCGCCCTAAGCCACTTGGATTCTCTTAGCCCCCTTTGGTTTTTCAGCCACTGCAGTGCTGTTCCATTGGCGCTGTCGTCTCACGGCCTCCAAGACACAGCGGCTTCACGTGGAACGTGTGCATCCTTTGTCCCAAGAGCCACACCGGGCTCTGAACCAGCAACAATATGTGGGCTACCTGATTTACTTCTTTTAATACACTTCAGTGTAATTATAACTGCATAAAAGAGGAGACAAATTGGCAAGTAATTACAATGTTAATTTGGCAATGTTTTATCATATTGTGGAAGCGCAATTTCCTCTCTAATTGTATTGGGGGGGACACATTTGTCTACGGTGGAGCTTATTAAGGGATTCTTGAGAATGGAAATGAAACACACCGGAGACAGGAAAATCAGCTCTCCTCCCCATAAATATTCCTTTATTTGCATGTGTTTTTGCAGCCTTCTTAAAAAGCTAACTCGTTTATTCAGGCCTAATTAATGGAATGCCGCAGAATACACAATTAGGCTGCAACAGTTCAGCTGATGGATGGCTGTGGATGTGAAACCCGGAGAGGACCCCCAGGTTAAAGGGTTGAATGCTTCCCTTTCAGAACCTTACGGGCTGTGCCTGCCTCACCACTGTCCCCCCTGAGAATGCCACTGCGGTTCCTGGCAAGTGCCCCAGTCCTGGGTGCCAAGAGGCCTTCCTCACCTTCCTCTGTGTCGTGTGCGTCTGCAGCATGATTGGCGCCATGGCCCAGACGCCCTCTGTTATCATCCTCATCAGGTAAGCCGTCACGTGGCCCCTCCCGGCCGCAGCGTCTCCTGAAACCCTACCTTTGGATGCTGTGTGGGCCCCACGAGGCAGGAGAGCTAGGGCCACAGCGAGCAGCACAGCCAGCCCAGGCCAACAGGAATCAACACGACCCCTCAGTTAGGGACCACAATAAGAAAAGCCAGACAGACGCAAGGGAAGAGACTACCTCCGTGTCCTCCCAGGAGTAGCCTCTGCAGGTGGCTCTGGACAGGATCCTGATCTTTTGGGGGAACAGCACTGTCAGAGTGAGGAAAGTGGCTCTGGACTAGCCAAGTTCACAGCTGTGCAGCCACAAGCCCTGGGGCAGGACATCTTAGCCCAGACTCATTTTTATGTCTGTTCCTGGAGGTGATGGTGCTGTTCCTGCCTGTGTCTCGCAGTGGCATGTGACCCATCAAGACCACCCTGTGCAGACACCATGGAGATGTGGGGGGTGGTTGTGCCAGTGGTCTCCTGGCGAGCAAGAGTTGGCTCCTCCTGTCCATGCAGGATGCTGAGGCCAGCTAGGTTTCTGTCCCTTCTCTTTCTCTGGAGACCTGTCCTGGAGCAGATGAGGTGCCTCAACTGCAAAAGATTGAACTGAGTGGCTTTTGTGGTTTGCAAAGTTAGCAGGATTGACATACAGAAGCTAGACATGAGCTGATCCATTGTCTATTATCCATCTGAATTGGAGGAAACGACTCAGTACTGAGAAAGACTCAGCTTGTTGGCATACAGTTGTGCACGCAAACCATTCAATCCCAGGGGCTGGAAAAGTAGGACCGGAATGCCTGGAAGTACTCCCCATGGGTACACGCCCGGCTGCCCTGGCTTCCTCTCCAGCCGCCCACCGCAGCTCCTGGTCTTTGTTACAAATTCCCATTGAGAAAGATTTATATACAGCACTTATCAAGGTCATTGTCAAAGCCTTGTGAATGTGTAAAAGCATTAAGGGTACAATAAGCAAATTGCCATGTCTACTTAGTAAGTTTGAAAACTACATTTAAAAAATTCTTATCCACTGCCTCACAGGGCTGTGGCTAAGCTAGTAAAATCCCACATTGCCGGTGGCATTGAGAAGCCTGTCAGTCCTTCCAAAAATGCAATATGGCAATGTGTGTCAGGAGCCATAAAAGTATTCAGACCCGTTTATGCAGTAACCCGACTCTCTGCTCATCATTTATTGCTGGAAAATAGTCTCTACTAGAGAAAAAGCCCAATACAGACAGATTTTTATTACAGCGCTGACTATAATAGCAGAAATACCTGAAGTGAAATAGTGAGCTAAATTATGGCTCTGCAGCTCGATGGCATAATGAAAATTCTTAAGAATGTGAAAAGTGTTTATGAAATGAGCAATTACATTTAAAGCCATATATATAGAAGATGATTATATACCATATGCACAAGGGCAAAACTAATCAGATCTTATGTATGGGCTTAGGGGCTGCTTATGAGTTTATTTCTCACTAGAAGTTCTCATGAAGTCATACACAGATCTACACACACAAAAGGCACCAGAGTGCAGGGCCTGCTCCACCATGACCATTACCCATGTTCCTGCCACGATTCACCTGAAAAAATTCAGCCTTTTAACACTCTGAAATCATGGCTGGCAGCTCCAACAGTGAGAATCTATTGAAATCATGCACACACACACACACACACACACACACACACACCAACTCCATAACACCTCTTGGGGTTTCTCAGGACCTATCTGATTCCCTTCCAATGAGTCCATAGGCCAGAGGTCGGGCTCACGCCTGCTGCAGGCACAGTGTGAAGGCCATCATACTTTCTACCGTCACTTTCCCAGTCCTATTTGCCATCCCAGATGTCCCAGGCAGGCACCAGGGCACAGTGAGAGCTTCAGCCCAGGTGTGCGTCAGCTCTTGCAGAGGCGAAACATGGGAGGCTTCTCGAATGCTAAGCAGAAACACACTCGCAAGGGCAGCGCTCAGAAAATCCAGAAGCAGGAGTCACAGCTGATGCTCACTGGGCCCCCCAGGACCCAGCTCTGGGCTCTTGTTGTCACTCTTTTTTAAAAAATAAATTTATTGAGAAACAATAGCAATGAGACAGTTTCAAAACTGATTAGTAGGACAGTTTCAACCATACATTACATTGTTGTGT